TTCAAATTGGAGATGGCAGTTAATCTCAGATGTTCATCCACTTCATTGGCTCTATCAGGACAGGGGCAGGGGAGAGGGGGCAACCAGGAGTTTGTATCTACAGGGATGAACCTTGAGAAATTGCTGATAGTCAACTCTTTCTGACCTTACAAAAAATGGCGGTTTTGTATGGGTTGGGCTAATAATTCCTCAGATGTTTCTAATTCAAAGCTAATTTGGCAACCAACCTGTGAATATGACAACGGGGACGTGGAATTTCTAATATCTGGGGAAAGCATTTTGTAGCTTTCATCAGACTTAAAGCACACACAAAAAAACTCTCTTCCCAGAAAAATGCACCAAATATAATACAATTTTTTGCATACAACCTCAGGGGAATTTATGGGCTCCTTAACCGTCCAAGGACTCCAGGTTAATCCTATTTTACACTTTCCTTCCTTTTGAAAGCTGCGTTCTCTAGGGGTGGAGCTTTGCTGCCCCCTACTGCCACCCGGCTCGTACAATGGGCTGGCTCTCCTCACGCCTATGTCCTTCCCGCTTTGAGCTCTGTAGGAGCCAACCAACAGAGCGGTCCAGCTCTGGGCAGGAATGGGCACTACTGGCGCATTTACTTCTAATTCATACATTGTACTGAGCTATTGTTAGGTCAGGGTGTGGGGAAGTCTCTGCTTTGATGGAACAGTGTGCACTGTCTGGTCTGGAGCCCACCCTTCAGGGTTATCAGGTTTGGATTTTAAGGGAGCTATTATTTTACTGCTCTGTCCTGTAGCTGAGAGCAATGCGAAAACATTCTTGTTTCCAGACTTCCCGACTTCTCTCCCCCACCGAGAAGGAAGCTGTTTTGTTTCCATTTGGACATTCATTTAAATATTCCTGGTCTGTGTCTGTTCTTTGGATTCTCCTTTGAATGGACTATAACATCTGTCTGGTTCCCTCAGTAAGAGTTACTAAAATCTTTAGCCTGAGCTCATTTGATATCTGCATGAGAGCCGTAATTGACTTTTTTTGAAAATTATCCTTTAACAAAGGCCAGGATCATATTAGATATCTGATTCCAATCTGAGATAAGGAAGGGCTTATCCTTGAAAGCTCATAGTCCAATTAAGGAGACACTCAATGTTGCCAGTAACTCTCTGAGATTTTAAGAAATCCGCCTCTCCTTGCCCCCCCCCACACTCCTTATTCAAACAGGTAGCAACTACCTCATTGCCTCCGGGGAGGTATATTGGCAAAAACAAAACAAAAAGCCAAAGGAGGTTGTAACTTTCTGGATTTTGTCTTCCTAAAGCTTCAGTCCACAGAAGAATTTAGAGGAGCAGTGGAGGGGGAGAAGCCCCATATTTTGGAAAAAGAGAGAAGAGGAACATTTCTTCCACAAAACAGTTTATCTATCATCTATCTATATCTAGTTTATCAAATGTCTAATTTACTGTAGGTAGTGAGCAAAAAAAATAAAAAAGATTGCAAACACTGAACCTAAAGGCATAAAAAAATTCAAACTCAGCTTTACGCGTATTCAGAAAACCTGCTTTCTTTCCTTTCCTTCTTTTAACAATGGCTGCAAAGGAATATCAGATTAGGTTTGGAGTACTTTTCTTTCAAGCTCCTATTTTTTTTTTTAAGATTTTTATTGGGGAATTGGGGGATGGGAACAGTGCTGGGGAATTGGGGGAAGGGGAACAGGCAAGTTGCTGTCATTTTGTTCTTCAGTCTAGTTGTGGAGGATGTTGCTTCACTGGCCCAAGTTGGCACCATCATTGCACTCTTCCCGGGCGAGGCACATCAGTCGCCAGCTTCTGGACGGCCGCTCACTGCCGCTGCTGGCTACTCACGCTGGCTGCTGGATACACACGGTAGCCCATGGCAACCCACTGCAGCAGGGGCTGCAGCCTACACGTCGCCGGTGACTCACAGAAGCCCAGCTCCAGGTTGAGCTGTTGTTCAGCATCTTAGCTGTGGAGGGCAGTGTCACTGGCCCTCATATGTGGGATCCGAACCGGGGCCCTCTGGCGTCCCAAGCCAGCTCTTAACCAATGGGCCACTCAGCAGGCGCCTAACCATTCTAAAGGGAAGGATAAACTGTCTTTAAGCACTTCGGGTGGGGCTCTGTCTACTTTATCTAGACACCTCAAGTTAAATGACCAGCTGGGGGCAAGGAGCCAGAGATTAAGACAAAGGGGCCAGGCCTGTCAGATAGGGGCTGGTTCTCTCTCTCCTCTCTCGCCAATGAGGATAGAGCAGTCAGTGGCAAGGCAGGTAAGGATGGGAAGGGTAATTTTGAAGGATTTTGGGATCTATTTTTCAGTGTAATTTTATCATTTAGCTTTCAAGAAGCATACATTCTGTGAAGATCAGACTCGCTGACTCACTTTTACATTAAAATGTACAAATCCCTACCCAGACCAAGCAAAAGTTTTGTGATTATGCATAATTTCCTGACAAGGCTGCACTTGTCTCTTTATATTGTAATCCTGTTCCTGCCAGCCCCTGCATAAGTTAATTTAAAAATGTTGACAACAGCATAACAGCCATTCACACGAATGAACTTGAAGTGTCAAGAAGCTAACCCAAAATAGAGGTGGAAGGTTTAACAAAAAAAATTTTTTAACTTTTTCTGGGATTAATAACAGTATCTCACTTTTGGAACTTTAAAAATTAAGGTGGAATTTTTGTAAAGCATTTACATGTTTTAACAGCTTTTACACCCCCCTTTGGGAAATTGAGTCGATTTTAGAAGAGACAGGGAAAGCTTACTAAAAATGACTTTAATTGCCCCGCGATAGAGGCAGCCGGCACTGAAAAACTCACCCAGGGAGTTTGCTAGCTAAGGAGAGGCCGGGCAGCCGCAGCCCTGGGGCTGAGGAAAAACCTCGGGTTCTCATCTGCTGTTACCTGGTTTCACACTTTCTATTTACCTATTTAGTATCCTCTCTCTTTGGGCCCAATTTTGTTTTGCAAAATGCAGTCTTGGAGGGCCCAGGGCAGAACCCACAGCGGAGACCAAGGCTGGGAACGAACCCCCCGCTGTCTATTTCTGGAAGCAGCAGCAGATTAATTTTATTGCACGTGAAAACGAGCGCCTGTTCTCCCCTCCCTATAATATCGCGAGTTACACAGTCTCTGAAACAGAACAAAGATAAAGCAAAAAATCAAAGTGGTCTACTTATTTTATTAAAAAACACCTGGAATATCACATTTCCATATATATATATTTCATTTGAGTACTTTTTGGTAAAGATGAGGGTGCAATATACAGGCTGATAAGAGACTATCAACAGCAAACAGGAAGGGTTAGGAGTGTCGCTGGGCATTTGTTTTCTGTTAAGTAATATCCAATAAGGTGCCATTCAAGGAACACTGCTTTGGTCATGTCCTGGCAACCACTACTAAGATGTGATCTAAAGTAAAAACTCCTTTGTATCTTTGTGAGATAAAGGGGAATGTATATTCATAACCTAGGTTTAGAAAGAACAGGTCACACTCATCTACATGGAGGACAGAGACACTGCAATTCAATTGTACAGACCTGATCGAGACCCTCTGAGGCAAAGCTGCAGGCAGGGCTGGCTTGTTTGCCGTGTTGTGGGTGGTGTGGGGGGCGGGGGAGCCTTGGGGAGACTAGTGGAGGATGTGCTGCGGTAAATCTGGGTATTCCTTTAACCCCCAAACCCCCTACAACCTGCCCTTAAACTGAACACTGATTTTCAGTCTTCCTGTGGTTAGTCCCCTTCCTCCCAAATTTGCATTCACTCCTTCTCACAAGACACATTATTTTCAGAGTCCAGATGGATTAGGAAAACCACTCACAAATTCCATGGCAATAGTTACATTCTAAGCAACAGCAGGCTTCTTGATAAGACTCTGACCATTGCATGTGCTTCGATTTTTCAGAAGTCAGATTTCATTCCACAGCTTGCCATGCAGTTATAAAATTATAGGGGGCTCCCTGGATTCATCAAGTGTCTTTCTTAATAGATCCAAGCGTTAACAAATGTTATCCATTACTTAATAATATCTAAATTTCAAATTCTAGTCCCCACTTTACAGGTAGATAAATGGACAGAAAGACCGAGAGAACTGATTTGCCCATGTTCACTCAGGAGTAAAATTTAAGTCTCTTAGTTCCCAATTCAGTGGTTTATATGCTAAATTATACTTCAGCCTTCTGGGAACATAATCCTGGAATCTTGTATAAGCAAAATAGACCCCAAATTACATTCTCACCAGAGAAATTAATTGAATAGTTTATCAAGTGTGAAAATGACATTAGAATATTTTGCAAGATTGATCAAGGACTTTCAGCTAAATCCATTATAAAAACCACCCCTTCAGGCAAAATAAATAAGATTAAGATTCAACATGACAGATTGACACGTTTAAAAGTAGCCTGAAGTGAGGACAATTCCAGCTACTACACATGCATCACAAGTTTCCCCAGAGTTTAAGACAACGCCATCTAAACTGTTCAGTTACCCTTAGCAGTGAGATTTTTCAAAAGCCAAGCTTGAAGTCTCATATTAAAAGTAACATCTTTTGGGCCGGCCGAGTGGCGCGATGGTTAAGAACTCGCTTGGGATGCCAGAGGGCCCCGGTTCGGATCCCACATATGAGGGCCAGTGACAC